TCACTTTCTGTCCAACAACTTCAAGATATGATACTGAATTGCATAAAAGAACAATACAGTAACGTTTCTCAAAGTGCTCGCATGTATTCAAAACCTTACACAGAAAGAATTAACATCTTAAAAATGCCGGTTGGGTATCAACCTCCAAAGCTTCAACAATTTGACGAAAAAGACAATCCCAAGCAATATATCGCACACTTCGTAGAAACTTGTGGCAATGTTGGTACAGACAGAGATCTCTTTCTTAAGCGATTCGTTCGTTCCCTCAAAGGTAATGCATTTGATTGGTATACAAACCTCAAAGTTGGAGGTATTGACAGTTGGGAACAGATTGAACGAGAATTTCTCAACCATTTTTATAGCACTCGTCGTACTGTAAGTATGCTGGAGCTTATAAATACAAAACAGATGAAGGGTGAACCCGTAGTTAACTACATCACCCGTTGGCGAGCTCTAAGTCTTGACTGCGAGGATCGTTTGTCTGAAATTTCTGCAGTTAAAACATGTATGCAAGGCATGCAATGGGAGCTTCTTTACATCCTACAAGGGATTAAGCCTCGCATATTTAAAGAGCTTATTACTCGAGCCCACAACATGGAGCTTAGCATGGAAAATCATGGTGCTAAGGAAGATGTTCTTGATATACTCGACAACTTTCAAGAAGATGAGGGAAGTGATTCCGAAGAAGAAAACAATATGTTTCCTAACTCGGATAACGAAGAAGCTTCATCTTTCATTATAAGCATCATCTCGAGAGACTTACATCAAGAAACGCACCATGTTATAACATGACTTCAATCGAAAGTGCAAAATCACAAGGGCAATTAAGTTAAGGAAACCAAGAAGAAAATCCTCAAAGTGACGATAAGATAGTCCGTGCCCTCCAGTATAAGCTTGGATTGTCGTCTTGTTCTTGCAAAGTTGAAGAATAATTAAAATTGAAGTACTCCAAAATACGAGCCTAAACTATCAATGACACTCCTTGACACGAGTTTAAATTGTCTACTTGAAAACAAAAATCAAGAACTCCTTGACACGAGTATAAACTATCTACTTGAAAAAAAAATCAAGAACTCCTAGGTACGAGTTTAAACTGTCACCAAAAAAAAGAAATGACACTCCTTGACACGAGTTTAAACTGTCTATCTGGGAAGAAAATCAAAAACTCCTTGAGACGAGTTTAAACTGTCTCCCAAAAAATAAAAAATGACAATCCTTGACACGAGTTTAAACTGTCTATCCGAAGAAAAAAAAATCAAGAACTCTTAGACACGAGTATAAACTGTCTACTTGAAAAAAAATCAAGAACTCCTTAATACGAGTTTAAAATGTCTCAAAAAAAAAAAAAATGACATTCATTGACACGAGTTTAAACTGTCTACCTGAAAAAAAAAAAATCAAGAACTCTTTGATACGAGTATAAACTGTCCAAAAAAAAAAAATCCCTTTGACACAAGTATAAACTTTTTTCGGGAAAAAATTGAATTACATGATGACTTGATACCTTTTCAAGGTACGTAGGTATCTTGGAGGCCTGTTCCAAGTTCAGTCTACCAAAAAAAAAAAAAAACTCCTTAAAGTTGCAAAATGGCAAAGTGTGCTCGTCACGAGATATCAAAAGGATTAGTCGCAATTAATTAACTTGGCTTACTGTCAAAATATTGTCGTCGCTCATCACAAATTTTTAACTTGGCTCGCTGTCAAGATGTTGTCACTCATCATGCGATATCAAAAGTGCTCGTCGAACCTGTCAACTTGACACGCCACCGAAGTATAGCTGCAAAGAAAATTTTAGTCTATCGCCAAATTGTAGCTGCAAGGAAGAAATTTGACCCACCGCCAACGTGTAGCTGAAAAGAAGAATTTTGGTCTATCGCCATAGTTATAGCTACAAAATAAATTTTGATCCGGCAAAGTGTAGGTGGGAAGAAATAAATTGATTCATTGCCAGACTGTAGCTACCTAGAAAAATTCTGTTCACCGCCGAGGTATTGCTGAAAGAGAAATTTTGCTTTCTGCTAAGGTGTCGTTGAAGAAAAAAAAAAAAATTCTGCTTGCCACCGAGGAATTGCTGAAAGGGAAATTTTATCTGTCAGCAAAATGTCATTGCAAAGGAAAAAGATCTTTGCCTTTCCATTGAGCTGTCGTTAAAAAAAAAAAAAAAAAATCTGCTCGAGGTATTGCTGAAAAGAAGAAGTGGCTTTGCATGTCCAATGAAGTTGAGAATTTAATATCAAGTCCAATGGATTCTTCCTTAATCTGATCAAAACCAAAGTTGGTGAGTTCGCATGTAGCCTTGCGTGTCCAATGAGATGAACAATGTTCATTGTTAAGATTAGACAATTGAATGTATGTCCAAAGAGATGAACAGTAGCATGAACTGGGGCAGATGGAAGAAGCTGTTCTAAACCCATGTTTCCAATTAGTTCTTTATCTTTAAGTAGCCATATCCCTCGGGCAACTGCTAATGCAGCAGAAGGATCTGTGACTACGGAATCTCCAGAATGAAGAATCGACTTGTCAGTCCTGGAAAAAGTTGGTTTCCAAGGTTCCCCTTTATCTGCCAAGACAAAAACCCGAACTTCTTCTTCAGGTTCCACTTCCTCGCCTTCCTTTCCTTTATTCTTACCAAGATTAATACGTTTGCTTTTGGCAGAAGAAGGAGGATTCTTTTTAGCTTTCTTCTTTAAAGGGGCAACTTTAGCCTCCTTCTCCTGCTCAGTAGAACATATAACCAGCAGAGGAGTATCCTCTGCGGCCTTTCTCTTAAGAGCTTCAGCTCTTCTCTTCTCATCCTCTGTCAAAGGAAAGGAATCAAAGGAAGGAAGCGATAAGTCTATGAGGTCAGCTACTGAAACACTAGACACAATCTCCTTATGGTTGGAGGAAGAAAGAAGGTCATCTGTAGAAGGAGGGTTGTTCCAAACTCGTTCCTTAAGGAAAGCAATCCTTGTTCTACCCACCGAAGATGGAAATGATGCTAAAAAAACAAAAAAATTCATAAATATGGCGAAAAAGCAAAACCTGGCAGGGGAAACAACGAGAACACTCTAGATGAAAGGAATAAAGGTCTTCTATACCTAAGATCCCTAATTTGAGAGGAATAGGAAGTTTTTCTGACTGAGGCACAGACCACTTTCCCTTAATAATGATCATTCTTTCTTTCCATCTCTTCTCAGAAGTAGGAAGGTCTGTCCATATCCTTTGTTGAAGAGAAGAAGTGAAATAATAGCGGCCAAGTTCGGTTTGGTGTCTAGAAATGGTATAGCTGAACAATAAGTCAGCGAGAATCAGGTCAATACTTTATAACCTTCGGCGAACAAGAAGAGCCGACACTATTATAAGAAAATTAGGGTTTACTTGGAGAGAGGTAATACCTAATTTATTGAAGACTAAGTAATAAAAGGGGTGAAGGGGAAAACGAAGGGCATTAAGATGTCCGACAGATAAAAGCAGTTCATTCTCACCCACCCTTTCACCAGAATTGAAATCGGCGTCGGTTGGGTACTCAACTATTTCTACCCCCTCGGGGATCTCAAACTCTTCCATTACGGAATCAATGGTGAACTTAAGGCATCGGATTGACAAAATCATTTCTTTTTCTTTTTTGGTAAAGATATCAGTAGATCCAGAAGTAGATTCCTTCACTTAAGGTGAAGAATTATCTTCTCTCATAGTAGGATCACTCGTAACCTCAATAGGGTTAGAAACCCCGGGAGGTGGAACTCTAAGAAGAATAGGAGATGCCGAAGGGGTAGTTTCATAATCCATAATTTCTATTTGATCGTGAGTGGATGAAGTGTTCATAATATGGATGCAATAAGAAAAATATAAAATGACCTGAGAAATTGACGAGGCTACGAACACATGGAAGACAAGAGCAAGCTTTGGAGAAGTTTTGTGGTCAGAATGTCAATAGCCACTTTCAAAACCGCCTCTTACACTTCTGGAAACAAAGCAAATTTAATTTGCTTCTAATTAAGGACTGTTGCTCAAATTAGGAGGGAATTGGGGGTTGTGGAGGAAAAAATTCCCCTACCAATAAATATCAGCCACGTCATTAAATAAGTCATAACCTATTTCCCCTGGGCCACATGATTTTTTAGCCCAGCCTGATGAAGCCCAAAAGAACTATCATCAGCCCAACACTAGATCAACTCTATCTATCCTCAGTCAAATATACAGCTAGGATAAAGATTATCCATGATTCAGATCAAGTCAATTACGTTATCAAGGGAGCTTTACAAGGAAGAATCTATATGAAGCAAGTACCCTGTATAGAAGAAAAGCTTTACAAAGAAGAATCTATATGAAGCAAGTACCCTGCATAGAAGAAAAGCTTTACATGGAAGAATTTATACGAAGAAAGAATCTTATACAGAAGAAAAATCCTTATATGGAACATAATGATGAAGGATAATGGTGAATAAAACGTGACGGACAAGCAAGACGAGTGTTACCATAATTTATCATTAAATCTTGTATAAATAGAGGCATGAGTTTTCAATAAAGATCATCAACAAATTCTCTAAATATATATTGCTTATTGTTTTATTGAGTGTTTTACTTTTATTCTTCAATTTATTATAATTGACGAATTTTTGCACCTACAGCATGAAAGTTACAAGAAAAATGAAGTCACCTTATTCACCGAAAAAAAGAAAAAAGAAAAAAAGAAATGAAGCCACCATGGTTCTCTAGCATTTATTCAAATCAAGATTGTGTTTAGTCAATTTAATTTGTTATTACAAATACCATTTAAACATGCATTTGAAGCTTCCTTGAATTGTATGTTGGGCAGTCCCACTTTTACAGCAAATCTAATGATTTAATCACAAGGCAATGACTTTGATGATTTTCTTTTTATTTCTTTGGCTGCTGGGGAAAAATATATATATACAATGGTAAAGTTGACTTGTATACTTTTCCCGGTTGCCCAAAAAGTTTTAAAAAAACAAAGAATAGATAGGCAAACACTAACTTTTGAATACAGCTGATGAGAACATAATTATGTTTGAACTTTGAACTTAACTATAGTCTTTATATACAATAAAAGTGTTCTTAAGGGATAATAGTAAGAGAAAAAATCACAAGAATTGTATGCTAACGGCCATCAATGGTTGTTAGAGTTACATTGTTTGCAGAAAATCTCCTTCTTCGGGTCAGTTGAGAAGATCGTTTATTTGATAGGCCCAATATATCAGTAAATGCAGGTTGTGTCGGAGTTGGAAGATTAGCAATTTCACTACTAAGCATTGATAGAACAGTAGAAATAGTAGGCCTATTAGTTGCGAAATCTTGCACGCACAACAGTCCTACATGTGCGTATCTCAAGATCTCAACTTGAAAGCATGGATCAGAAATTGTTGGATCTATTAGCAATTCAATCCTATCTTCATTCCACAATTTCCAGGCCTGGACAGGGCAACAAAACCATGAAATGTTGAAATTATAATGATTAAAATGGAACCATATGGAGTAACTGAGGCAATAGTTCGAGTAAACTTACAAATCCTAGAAGGGTTAAAGAGTGCTCATCCTTATAAAAGCTAGTGTTTTTTCGCCCACTTACAATCTCTAACAACAATACTCCAAAGCTAAAGATATCAGATTTTTTCGAAAATCTCCCATGCATTGCATATTCAGGGGCCATATAGCCGCTGCATTGTGTCATTAGACTCGTTAAAGCGCAAGGAATAAAATTATTTGAGTTGAAGTACCCCATGAGAAAGAAGGCTTATCACGTGAATGATTGATCATTTTGGGCAAACCAAAAAGCACTTACTAGGTTCCAACAATCCTTCTAGTGTTGGCTTGTTTTTGGTTACCTCCAAAAATCTTTGCCATGCCAAAATCTGAAATTTTTGGATTTAAATCTTCATCCAATAGAACGTTGCCCGTCTTAAGATCTCTGTGAATAATCCTTAATCTGGAATCTCTATGAAGGTAAAGAAGGCCACGGCCAATCCCTTCAATAATGTTGGCACGTTTTCTCCAATCTAGAAGTTTTTGCTTGATTGGATCTGAAAGAATATTGAAGAAAAGAAAAATCAAGTTGGTTAAAGTTTTGAGACAACAAAACTGATGTTGAGATGAAACTTCCCCACAGACTAGAAAAAGAATGGCATTTTGTCTTCTCAACGCAATCAAGTTCCTCAATATGTTAAGATTGTAAAAATAAAATAACTAGAAATAACATAAAGAGCTTTTTCATGAACAAACCAAAAAGAAATCCATCTAAGCTTTTATTTGGCATGTATTCATAGATCAACATCTTTTCTTCTCCTTCTACACAGCAGCCAAGAAGTCTAACAAGATTACGGTGCTGGAGTTCAGAAATCACCACAACCTCATTCATAAACTCCTCATGCCCTTGTCCGGAGGATCTTGAAAGCCGTTTAATAGCTACTTCTTGTCCAGATTGCAATTTTCCCTGAAAGTAAAGATTCAATGGAATTTTTTATTTTTTATTTTTGGTAAATTTCAGATGAACAAGTATTACCTTGTACACTGGACCAAAGCCACCCTGCCCGAGCTTATTGGCGACATCAAATTTGTTTGTTGCAATTTCCAGCATCTCAAAACTGAAAATGGATAGCTCTTCCAGTTTAATTTTGTTTACATTGTCTCCATGCAAGCTTTCATTCAAACAATAGGGATTCACTTTCCTTTTCTTAGGCAGCGACATCTCGCTTTCTTTCTTCCTTCCTGATTCAGAGTTTAGTAGGTAATCTATATAATAACAGCAAATATGTGCTAATCTCTTTAGCTAATTTTAGTGAGCATATACCTCCTGGTCTAGCCATCCTCCTCCATAAAAAATAGGTACAGATTGCAATGGTTACTGACCCTACGAGCACTGCAATTTTGATTACTACTTTTGTGCTTCTGTTTTTCTCTATAAAACAAAAGGAAATTTTTTATTGAGTTAATACGGACTAAGAAAATAAAAATTTAGACAATTTCCGTGGCTTTCTTTTGTGGGAAAATTGGAAAAAGTACTATACTTGTGCTATTAAAATAGACTAACGCATACTTAAAACTAGAGCACAAATGTCAGGTGGCTAACATGTAGTATATTCAATGGTTCAAATTCAGAAGTAAAACAAACAGAAGAGGATTTTTAGAAGCACTTAGTATTGTTATTTTATTTTATTTTTTTTAAAAGGATGATTAAAAAAACTTACCAAGTTCTGAATATGCGATACGAATGTACAGATCTGCTCCACCATAGGAAAATTTCTGTATGTCAATTAAGTCTCCACTCCACTGCATACAACCAATGCCACTACAATACGCATATGCTATACAAGAACAATTATTCAAGCACTGGCTTTTGCAGTTGTCTTCCGCATCAAAAACCAACTCAGCGAATGCCGGCACTTTCACTGTCATTAGCTTTAGAAACCCATCTTCTTTACCCTTTCCACCACCAGTGTTGTTTCTCTCACACTGCAATTGTCTCCTCCTTACACATCCACTGGTCCAATTTCCTCTACTCCATTCCTCCTTATCGTTTGGATCAAACCCTTGTAAACAGGTGCATATTGGTGAACCCTTCACATTGCAGCTTCCAAAAGGACCACACTTGCCATAAATATCACATTCAGTATTTAGCACCGAGCACGTATTTTCCCAAGTCTCCTTTCCTTTTATCTTCTCCTTCCTCCCAAGAGTTCCATCAGAACACAAGGAATGGTATGACAGAGAAGACTCATTGACATAATTGTAACTTAAAATTACATTTCCTTTTTTATCATCTACAAATTCATATATTTTATTGTATACAGGAACCATTGCAGGTATGCCAATAAAAGACTGGCCATTCCATGGACCACTGCGCCAGTATGGATGACTACCATTCCATATATAAATTTCTGGAATATTCAGAGGGTTGATGCCAGAAGTGAACTTTCCAGTGGATGGATCTGAAGGGCTTTTCAGCTGAGTCTTCTTATCTGTAAACCTGTTGCTACTAATTTTCATCTCCTGCAACATAGAATCCGAAGGGTGATCAAAACTCTCCCATATTATGTTTCCATTGGACTCATCTCGCAGGATAAGGTTTCCAGAATCTGAAAGCTGGGCAGTTGAATTCACCGAAGAATTTGGAACATCTGATGACCAAACAATCTGTTTCTGTCTATCCAAGACCACAAGGTTGCCATCCTTGGATATTGTCAGAGTCCCATAAGAGTCATTAAGAGGTTTATCTCTATTGGCGACCCATACCACAGCCTTCACAGAGATCTGGTTGTACCAGATACCTACATACCGGTAAGTAGAATTAACAGGACTAAAAAATCCCAATTTGAAGGTGGCTCCATTGGAGACTATAGCTTCAGGGTCATTGATGGGTTGAGTTGATGTAATTGTGTTTATGGCTGTGCAAAATACTATAGTACAACAACAGTAAAATATGTGAACTGGGATTGAAAGAAGAGTCATTAATCTTGTAAGTTCCATGGCAAGTCTGAAGTCTAGTGCTTCTTGTTGGTGAAGAAGATGGAAGGTGTGTTGTCTATTCAGAAAAGGTTGATTATTGTAGTCGCAAAATTTGACATCCACAGTCAACCAGTATAGACAGAGACGATGATGGACACCACTCGATGAATTGAAGGGGACCCACAGCTGATTTTTTTTTGATGCGTTTACATAAATGGACACCACTCTGATACGTGAATGATCTTTCTCTTGATAGATAGAAACAAACATCCAATAATAAAATATTTATGAGATGAAAATAAATAAATAAAAAATGTCAAATGGTGGCAGATCCGGGTTATAATTCGGACCCAAACACCATTCTAGTGTGGGTTTGGTGATTGTCGATCACAGAATAGGTCTAAGACTAATTTGCCTCTAATATTAGATTATGTTGTTGGGTTTGTGGCTCAAAATTTGTGTGCAGAAAGTTAGTTTCCTTTTTTTGTTTTGGAAGGTTGAAAAATTTGTAGAGTAAATTGTATTCCATTATTTTTCTATTTTAGAGTTTTGATTATTATGGTAACTCCTTGTAAGCAAGTGTTGTTGGGTCTGTGGCTCAAAATTTGTGTGCAGAAAGTTAGTTTTCTTTTTATTTTGGAAGGTTGAAAAATTTGTAGAGTAAATTGTATTACATTATTTTTCTATTTTACAGTTTTAATCATTATGGTAATTCCTTGTAAGCAAGTTGAGTTGAGGAATACTTGTTCAACAAATAATTGGATTTGAAGACTCTATAAATAGAGATGGGTGTGAGAGGTTTAAAGAGAGGAGAAAAAAGATGTAATGGATTTAAGGTTAAGTATTGTGAGGAGATGGGAGATTATATGTAATTCCCCAGTGTATACATGTAGCCTCAAAAAAGATAATGAGTGAGTGAGTGGGGTTTTGACATATAGTTGTATACTCTCTTTCTTAATTCATAATAGTGAAAACTCTCTTTTCCATGGACGTAACCCTAGAGTTGGGTGAATCATGTAAAATATTGTATTGTACATGGATGCGTGTGATTGTTACATCCATTAATGCTTGTGTTGATGTGATGTGGTGATGCTTTCGCTGTGTATGATGAATGAGAGATTCGATTCTCAACAACAAGTGATCGTTGAGTGGGTTGAAAGGAATTGATTATTCCCCAACATATGTAGCCATTCGAAAACTTGTCATTTGATTCAAAAGCTCAAGTTATTAGAAAGTATGCATGCCTGCTCACAAGGTAATGTTCATCCATAACTCTGTCCGGTGCTTGTTGGTTGTGAAGACGGAAGATGTGATATATTCTAATTTGTTGTCAAAAAGGACTTCCATTAATTAAGAGTAATTCAATTTTCAATTCCCTTGGGTCTCTTGACAAAAGCGCCCAAAACTTTGAAGTTTGAACTAAATAGGGAGACCAAGAGAGAAATTTTTAGTTACAACCGTTATTGGTGTCACGGATGTATGGCTCCGTTAGATTAGGTGGGGCCCATCATTACAGTGATGATCTAACGACTCTCGTACATCCGTTTCACCAATAATAGTTGCAAGTAATAATTTCTGGATGAAGGGTTCTCTACCACTGGATAGATTGAAGGGGGACCCACAACAGAAAATTCATTGTTGTTACGCCTTTTATCTTTCCAAGAATAGTGCATAATATATTTAGATGTAGTTGGTTTAGCTCATCTTTCTTAATCCATTAATTATACAAATATACCAGCTTTGACTTTTTAAAGATAAAAGATGCTTCGGAACTCCATGTCCTAGCTAGAATTTTGACAATCCTCCACTGGAAAGGCAAACCTGGTAAAATTTTCTTTTGAGGATCTAGGGGAGGGGAATGTGCAGTATGTTACTGTGTTATTTATTTATTTATTTATTTTAAATTTTTTTTCTCATTTCTTTTTCCTTTTAACTCTAACAAAGAAATAAAAGCACAAGAATAGCTGGAACAATCACCAAAACCACAGAGAAGAATTACATTCTTATCCACTTGGCAGTTTTCCCAGTAAATAAAGAAAAATAAATATTTATATTTTTTGGGTTGGAACAACGTAAAGCAATGGATGAGCATTACCTTGTTCTCTCTCTCTCTCTCTCCCTCTCTCTCTCTCGTGCTAACTGTAATTTGCATATACCTCTTGGTTTAGCCATCAACCTCTAAGAAAGATTGATGCAGATAATTGCAATCGCTACTGACCCTATGATTACAGCAATTGTGATAACTAGTATCTTTGAGTGAGTTGAGTTGAAATGGATTAAATTGGAATTAATTATACAACTTCCATGGCTATCTCTTTGTTAAATTAGAGACCATTGTTAAATTAGATACCAGTGTTGTGCTATGTTTGGTGGCGTATTGGAATTGGAATTTGAGCTAAATTTTCTCTAATTTCAAGACAACAAGTGTTAATATATGTTAGGATTTCAAAACTTAGTCAAGAATATGTGATGACTCATATTTATTTATATGTTATGAATCAACAAGTAAACAAACAATAGAAGCAAAAGAGGATTATTTGAAGCGCATATTAAATTACAAGATCATAATAGTAGGAGGTAACATTTACCAAATTAGCAATGGCCGCCATTTTCGCTGTCTTTAGCTTGAAAACTCCGTCTTCTTTGCCATAGATTTCACATTTATCTTCCAAATTCTCCTTTTCAATATCCAGGTTTTTCTTCACTGTAATTCCATCATAATTCAAGAAAAAGTACAATACATTCATTTGTAGGCCGTGTAAGTTAAATTCACGGCTCCTTCTTTATCAGAATAATAAATAAATAAACAAACCGATTAGACTACGTCCAGATTCACGAACAAGAAATTACAAAGTTACCAAACCCCAAATTCTCACTCTCTCTTTCCACGCTCCAAACCCTAGCATCGTCATGTAACTGGGTCCACGACCGCAAGCAATGGGCCTACTCAAACCCACTATGATAATACGGTTGCACCTCAATTGAAAAATATTAATTCAAACTTAATTAAAATTGGGTTTAGGTTAAAGTACCGTTAATCAGAACTATTAAATTTTTAAGGTTATTTTTTTTTTTTTTTTTTTTTTTTTTGAAATTTTCATTAATATTTTGTTCTTAAGAGTATTCTAAATTTTTAATATGAAACTAACTCAAGATCAAATCAAATTTTGTGTGGAGATTGACCATATTTGTAACTTGACTATTTAATCCGAAATTTCAACCAGAGTTTAAAAATTTAAGGATGAGTTAGGCTTGAATTGATTAGTTAGAGATAAATATCAGATTAAGATTTTAAACATTTCTTATAGTTATTGTTGGAGATCGTCTCCCTCGTACAATTTTTTGAAACTTTTGAGTCCGTCACTAGATGCCAGCAGGTAGAATGAACAGGACTAAAATCAGTTTGTGTCTATGGCAGTGCAAAATTCTATAGAGTAAAAATTGTTAGGATATGTGTGCCCTAGCATAGCAAATTCTAATTTTGGATTGTAAAAGTTATGGTTTCTTATTTGGATATTATTATTAAAGCATTATACAATTGGTGAATGGAATGTATTATTTTTCGATTCTTTATGGAATTGATGGTGTCTGCTTGATTACAAAATATATTTATATATGTATGTAATAGCAATTAATACTATGATATAAATTAGTAATCATAAATGGTTTAAAGTCGGTAATTATGGATGGACATTTAATTAGTTAAAACTTAAACCGAGTCCACGATAGATTGAGATATATTGCGAGAGCTGTCGTATGCAATTGCTCTCTATCACAGTCATGGCTTTTGACTCTCAAGTATGAGAGAAGTATAGACTCTTTTATTAATTAACAATTACTTTGATTTGTTCGGCGGATACCTCGGGATCCTTAGATCGACACTTTGGGTAGTTATGTAATTGATAATTAGAGGTCTATATTCTCAATATTTGCATCAGTGCTATTTGTATTTATTTTGTTTTGATTATGGTTGATCACAAATTAAATTCGAAGGCCTTCGTATGTTTTAGACAAATGTTTTATATATATATATTTACTTAATAAATTATTATTATTTTTTTGTCAAATAAATATTTTATTGTGATCGAGCCGGAAATAATCAAAGGTAACAAAATAATTATATTAATTATGTTGTCGGATTGATGGCTTTAACTATCCGATAAATAATTAAGCATAGAGGGGTCAAAGTGCAACATTGACTTAGAGGTTATTTACTATTTAATTGGAGTGCAATTAATTTCTTTTAGTGGAGTAGAAATTAATTTATGAATTAATTGAATTGGGTCCATGGTTTAATGGACCGGACCAATTATTAATTTATAGGAGCCAAGAAAATAGTAAGCCCAAAAGGATTCTCACCAATAGCCCAAGTTGATATTGGAGTCATGTTAGGATTGAGAAAGTTGAATTAGAGATGGAGAATGATTTATTGTTTCCTTATTCTTATTTTTATTTTGCCTATATATACATGAGTTCATGTATATTTTAGGGGTGACTTGGAGAACAAGAAAAAGGAATACACTTTCTCTCTCTAGATTTTAGGGTTTTGTTTTCTCTTCTAAAGGAGGCTACCACCAGCCTAGATTCCAAGGTCATTCATCAAGGCATATTGGTGATTCCTAAAGGGAAGATAATAATCTAACGGAAGGAGAAAGGATCTTGCTAAAGAGATCTACAATAAGTGAGAACATTCACTTTAGAGGAAAGTTCAAAAGGTTTACTCAGACCTTTGATGTAAGTATTCAATCTGTTTATTGAATTATGCATCATCTTTTATTTATCTTTGCATAAAACTTGTCTCTGTGTGATGAATCAAGATCCGTGATTGCAAATCCCTCAAAAGTTTTAAAAACTTGCACGTTTCCCAACAAAAATATCAGAGCAAGGATTCATAGAGAAGTAATTAAGCTTGTACGTACCAAGGCAATTAAGTCCAATAAACTCTGTTGATTGGATCTTGTTATTCAACACTCCATTCATATATATAAACAATCGTAATAAATATAATAATTTTAACATTTTCATACAAAATGTGAATCAATAAAAATTTAACATTTGAAGTTATTCAAAATCGAAAAAAAGA